GGGGTAAGAGGGGGGGTGGGAGCTGTCACGGTCCCCGCGGGCAGCCCCGGGCCACCGCAGCCACACAGCGGAAAAGTTTCCTTTTAAAGCACCCGGAGGGCGACAACGGACGAAAACAAGTCGTCGTGTCGTGTGTGTGTGTCCCCCCCCCCATTAATTTATATGGTGAGAAGGGAAAAATGTGTTTTCTCGCTGCTGCTTCGTGTTTTAGCACCGTTAAACACCCGGTAGCCCCGGGATGGCGACCGGCAGCGGCGTGGGATGGGTTTTCCCGCCCGAGGCTTGGGTGGTGTTTTGAGTAATGGCCCTACGGTTTGAGGAGCGCTGGGGGACAGGGACCGAGATGTCACTGGGACTGCTCTCTGCCACCCCCCGCAGCGGGGCGGTCCGGGGGGCACACAAACTCTCATCCCCTAAATGAGGATTTTTAGACCGGCTGCGGAGGTAACGGTCACTTCGCAATCTCCTGGCGCTTCTTCTCTTAACAGTTCACTTCTATCCCCGTCCTGAGGATGGGCTGACCTCCGGGTGGGCTTTAGAAAGCTGCAGGCACCTCACTTGGGTTGCCTCCTCAGAGCAGCAGCCGCGGTACATACAGCTCTCCTCCCCTGGATGGCGCTCGCAGAATAGCTTCACCAGCTGCATTTTTCCTCTTCTTCCTGGTGGAGGCAGCCAGTTCTGCTCAAAAGCGTGGGTTTTCCACACCAGAGAGCGGTGACACTGAAACCGCGGCTGCTCAGCCTCTGCTGCGGTGGTTAAGGTCTTGAGTTCCCCTGGTAATCATACCCCGGCGCCAGCAGGCTTGGAAGGCGGCCATAAAATTGTGGAATTTGGAATATCACAGAAAGTTAGAGTCTTGCAACATTGAACATCATCCCCCCACCACCACCCCCGAAACTCTAAGATTTTGAAATTACATAAGGAAGGCAAAGAAAAAAAAAAGTAGGTTTTGTGTCATAACTCAAAAGCAGCTTCACTTTTTCAAATTCAAAACTTCTACTTTCTTTCTTTTCTCTGGATCCTGGAAGTTTGAGAGGAAGTCGCGGTCTCTTTGCTTAGAAGTGGAATCAGGGGGAGATTCCCTCACCTAGCTGCCCCCCAGAAAGAGCCGGTGTGGACAGACATAGGCATGGCGAACCTCCTGCACTGCTGGGAGGGAGAGGAGGCAGCCACACATCTTCCCCATCCCTCCAAACTGTTTCTGCCTTTCTTAGAAAAGTGTGCCCATAAATACATTTTTAGGTGATGCATGAATATGAATCAGAAGAGTGGGTAATTATATGGCATTTAAGGTATGCTAAGGCATAATCACAGGGGTTGGGTTGATCCTACTTATTCTCACGATTCCTTAAATTGAAATAGGTATAAACCACTTGCCAGTGCTGTAAATCCCAGGTCTACAGATATAACACTGGCGTAATCCTACAAATGGCAGCTCCGCTCCTGTAATGTATATGTTGCAAGCAAATTATAGGGGGTCATTAAGATTATGTTGATTTATGTGGGAGTTTTGCCTGTCTGGACAGGAGCGTTTGGCTGAGCACCGTCTGTCCCTAGAGCTCAGTTGATGTCTTCTCCCCTCGGGTCCAGCAGTTTGCTCAGCCCCAGCTTTAGGGCTTGAGTGTTTTCTCAGCATAACTGTTGCAGAGCATCCTGGCAGTGGGATTTCTGAGCAGTTATAAACCATGGGCTGTTTTAATAAGACTCAATCTGTATTTCTGCTATCTGGCAGACAATGTGAAACTAAAATTTGAGCAAGTCTTGAGAAAAAAGTGTTAAATTTTAGCATTCTAGACAATGTCTCTTCTCTCAAGGCTTCCTTGCTAGGAGGGTTTCCTTCACAGCAAGCCAGCTGGTAGGAACGTAAAGAGATCTGCATTCACCTGATGCAATTCTTTAGTGTGAAGTAACTGGGCTGTTAACAGGGATGCTTTTACTCTTGGAATCAGTAGTGAGTACACCTCAGTAAATAACATTGCAAAGTTCGTGCAGCAAACTGCTGAGCCCCTGCCAACTACCTTCCCACACTGCGTCATGTCCCAGTGAATGCTGAATTTATCAGGGTGTCCTCTGCTGCCCAGAGGTGACAGTGACGGGATGGCAGTTTACTGGATAAGCGCTGGCAGTTGGCCAGTCCCACTCACTGGTGCACACACCAGTAGTGGCATACTCACAGCATCAGCCCTCTGCCATGTCTCCTCTTCGTGCTTCCAACTGCAGCCTAGGATCTCTTCCTCCTCCAGGAGAGCCCTGGGGCCCAGGCACTTTGGAGAGAGCTGCTGAAAGGGATGGCCAGCAGGTCCCAACCCTCATGCTGTGCAGTGCCACGTGAAAACCAAGGACACGATGATGGTTTAGAAGAAGGGGACAAAAGGTTTTGAGACAACTGCTGCTTGGACAAGTGCTTCTGGCAGCTGTGGGAGGGCACTGAGGAACACAAAGTTCCAACAGTTGTCATTAACATTCACAGGACAGTAAACAAACAAGAACCTGAAGCCCAGTTGCGATGGATGGGACACTTACTGCCCAATCTTCCTCCAACTAGCACTCGGTCCCCAAAACCTTAGTGCAAGTGTGAGAGGCCTGCTACTTTGCAGCAGCTAACAACGGGATCCCCTACTTTCTCTCCCAGTTCTCTCATGAGTGTTCTAAATGAGGCATCACGTATCCAAACAGAGACCACTGCACAGCCGACCTCCTTGTTTCTGGCTGACCCTCCTGCCTCAGCTCTGCCCAGCCCCTTCCTCCCCCCGGCATGTGTCCACACATGCCGGCTATCGCAGATTAAAAACATCATCTATTCACATCAGGATTTCTAGGGATGAATGGTCTGTTATTCTCTGGTAGAATGTATGATGTGTTTCAATTAATCAAGGATTTAATTTAGTTTATTGATATATATATTTGCTTGCAGCATAAAACTGAGGAAAGTATTTCACCTACTGATGCCAGTAAAAATCTGAGCAAAGCATTTTTGGTTTGTTTGTTTTTACCAGTAAAAGCCTTAGCCAAGCACTTTTCTCGGTACAAACTTACTGAAAACTACTGTGTTACAAAAATAAGACAGCTCTGAGCAGGAAACAAGACTTCACCACACTTAACCCCCAGTGCACCTGACATGCACTCCAGTAAAAATGGCCCACGGCAGTTTGGTTACATTTACATTAGCATCTTTTTGATAATATACCATAATTAAGCTCAACACATCGCTGCTAAAGTCATTGTGTCACCAGCCTGGCATTGAACATATCCCTGGTGTGTGAAGGTAAATGGGAAATCACAGCTGCAAGACCCACGTGCCAAAGCATCCTCTTACCATTAAAAAAGTGGGGAACTGCTCTCCATGAAATGACTTCCGAGCGGAGGGGCGTCCAGCTCACCTTGAGAGCCCAAACTGCCGGCTCTCAACATTAAAAAGTAGTTTCAAAATCAGTGGTTTGGAGGAGTATGGTGATGGTGCTATGGAGGCTGCAAAAGGCTGGGCCAGGTCTCAATCCCAGTCATCCAGGCTGCTGGAAAACCAGATTTAACAAAGTTTTCAGCACTACTGGAATGAGCAATATTTGTTTTAAAAGCTTGTTATTTACATGTCAGCTGATGCCAGGCTCTTTTTATTGGTCTCAATGCCAGGCCATTTGGGGGTCATTTTCCTAAGCTTTTCTCTCCAGCCCTGAGGGCTGGGGTTTTTTTCTTTTTTCCAAAAACCATTGAACAAAAGCTACAGGACTCAAGCAATAAAATTTCACCAGCTGCAGTTTCCAGAGGAAGAACATATGATCAAAAAACTTGCAAAACCCTTGGAATTGGCACACTGATAGCCTTGGTTTTGGCAATCCCAGCAGGAAAAGGATTAACTAGGCCAGGGAGGCTGAACTGCCCTTTTTAGTGGAGGATGAGCTCGCCCCATGCTCACCTGGGAGCCTGCTCCATGCCCAGGGAGAGCAGCTCGGTGCGGATGATGGCAGGACACCAGCCAGGCTGCCGTGGAACTCCACTCACTACCTGGGTACCAAGTAAAGGCAGAAATCACTCACCACATTTTTCTTTTTCCCTTCATGCCCATTGAACCTTATCATGAAGTATTTCTGAGCTGTCTGACTTGTCACGGAGCAAGGCGCTGCTGAGAGTTGTTTTGGTTTCTGGAGCAATCCATAGAAAGGACAGCTAAGAGAAGGAACAATGGGCATTTTATCAAACTAAAATTGTGTCACATCATGAAAAAAAACCCCACCCTAATTATACAAGAGACAAACATGGACAAATGCATGGCGTGAAAAAAGGATGTTACAACTTTGAGTCGTAAACTGCGTGAATCAAAAACATCTCTTGCAATAGTAATTACTGAAAGGGCAGGTTTTCCATCACTCTGGAGTTGAAGCTTTTATTAATAGACCTGTGTTGTGGCTGTTACGGGGCTTTTTACACCTGACTGTTGTGCTCAATCTTTGAGCCTTTAACCCTCACCTTCCTTTTTTTAAACCTTCTCTCCAAATCCACTCATCTTCTTTAGCTCTCCCGGCACCGGTATAGTGAGGAGCCCAGGTGAACCTGGAACGATGCTCCCATCTCACCAAGCCCTTTCTCAGGGCAGAGCTGGGAGGCACCACTCACCTTTGTAATTCTCATCCACCTTTGTGCAAGGACTGCTAACCTGCCTAGGAAGGGAAGGTGATAAAATAAAGGCTTCCTTAAAAATATACCCATCGCTTGATTCTCAGGGAGCGGCTGTACGAGCAACCAGAAACCATGCAGATGTAGTGTCTGCATGATGGCTGGGACTGACAGAGAGCAAAATCATTCCCCCTCTGCAGAACACCTACAGAGGGAGCGTGCAAAGTCAGCGCAGGTCCCCGTGGTGTCCACAGCATACCTCTGCTCCCCCCTGAATGATCTGGGGGTTCAGCCACAGCAAGAGCTCACAGCTGTTTCCAGGTGTGGCAAATGCCACTGACAGCATCACAGCCCTGCCAGGCAGCTCCCAGAGCACTTGGATAACTTCCCTCAGGTGTTAGCTTTGTTGATTTAAATAGCTCTGTTCCCCCTCCTAATACCTGCTCTCAGCTGTTTGGAATCAATACATCTATTGCAAACTTGGTCAGGGACCAGATTTTGGTTTGTCTGTCTTAGGTGCACAACCCCTGTAACACACAGCAGAGTAGTCACAAGTGCTGTCAGCCATATTTGGAATAAGGTGGTCTTTTATTTTGTGTTAATTATACTATTTACCTCAAATCACTACATATGCTGCATCCTGCCTTCTGTGCTTGCTGCTTGGGGACACTGAGG